CTTTTTCCACATAATTGACTATATTGAGAGAGTGAACTCGTTAGGCCTAGATAACCTAATGCCCTGCACCAGTAAAGTGACCAGTCATGGAGGAGTTGCTTTGTTGTTTGCTGTGTGTGTTTGCTTCTACTTCTTCTGTTTCTCCAGCGTTCAATGATGTCTTCTTCTCAATCCATCATCGATCGAGGGGGGAATATGTAGAGAATCGAGGCGAATCAAACACAACTTAATCAAATTAATCTCTCATGGGATTAATTCACATGGCTTCAACACTCCAAGTTCTGGAGCCCACATTCCAGAGTCACGGAACGACTCCGTGCTGTCTGCAGATAAGGACTTTTATTGCCCCACAGGCCCAAGAGAGGGGCACTAAACAGGACGAACGTGTCAATATGGTAATTTTACTGAGACAGGTCAACTCCAAAATGGTGGAACGAGAGGCTCACAACCAAGACTCCCTTTGATGCCCTGACAGAGATGTTCCACAGAACACATCTCCTCGTCCCCCTTCGAGTTGAACTCTCAGTAACCTTACGGTTGAGATCGAAGATCTCACACATAAAATCATATAAACTCACCACAGAACAATTCTTGGACCTATAACCAATCATAATTGTTGTTGTTCCTACACTTCATGTGTTATTATGCTTAGATCACATAATAACCATGTAATTGTTGTTAACTATTAACTCTTGTAATTGTTATACAACCATTAGAAGTGTGAATGCCTCGTTTGCTCTTAAACAAACCGTATTCTCGTAATTCAAAAGATGGCTTGATTGAAATCTGCGTAAAAGGTTTTGTTTTATGATTATAATTATCATAAGGTTAAAACGATGGTCTTTTGTCTCTGCTAAGTGCTGGAGACCAGCTCACAGACCATGCATAAATTATGATAAGTAAAGAAGTAGATCCACCTCCTGAGATCATGCCATTACCCATTGGCCTGAAGTTTCTAGGAGGATGGACTAGAGTTTAAGTTAAAGATCCGAACAAAGGACCTCATGATGAGATTTTTGTAGATTTTAGAAGATTTCAGGTGATTTTTGTTCTGTTCTGTAACTGTTAAGTCCGTGCCTCTCTCTAAAACCAGCAAGAGAGTGTTCTGTTCGTGCTTATCTCTGAAACAAAGAACATGTCCACATGCTTCTACATCGACTAGACCAAATTCGACCAGCAGACGAATAACCCATCAAGATCAGGGTTACAATTCAGCTCAGTCAAGCCATCCGACTCGTCTTACTTTCATTTCTTTCCTTTATTTCCTTTTTCGTAAAAGTCTCGTTTCAAAGTTAAGTTTGCAACGCGCTTCGAACTGGAAAAGACTCTCATTCGCTTGCTAATCACACGTGACCAGCGGCGAAACTTCCATCCCTGCACTTCAAAGACAACAAACCACGCAACGGACCCGGCCGGGAAACCCCCCTTCGATGCGACGCAGACAAAGGGAATTCCCTCAGCCACTACAAAGCGCAAGTACTCCAAGCTCTAACTGAACTGGTGCTTTAATGTTAATTGAATAACCTCTCTAAGAAATGAAGGTTCAAATTAATGCTTGGTGGTCCTTTCAGGTTATGTCTTACGTGCATATAGAAAGTTGAAACTTTCCCTCACTCTTTCCAACTCACTCTTTCCCTTTCGCGACTGTATGAATGTGTGTGTGCGTGATTATGTTTAGACCTTAGTTTGTGCTTAGAATAGCTAATAAAGTCTTGTCCATATATTTGAAAAGATAAATCTTCTTGTGTCGTGTTTGCACATTTAATGTCTTGTACTGTTCGATTTAAAGTTACCTTGCTAAGACATAGTGTTTCACTATAGATTTGGTTATAATTACGGCCCGTTCAAATGAACTCTAAGCGAGTCATTTGCTCGGTTCAGTGATTCGGTTCCATAGATTCATTGCAAATCAATGAATCATTTCCCTTTGAGCTAAATTGGCCTTCGGCCCCCCTTAATACATTTTATGTATATTATTATATGTTGCATTTGCTACAATATCATGTGAAAGAGTAGGTTTTGTCACCACCGTCAGACGTCACCACCGTCAGGTTTTCTATCTGACGGTGGTGACATACCGTGTGACGGTGGTGACAAAACCCCCCAAATGGTCTATAACAGAGGCTAGAATATAATTGTTGATCACAATAAATACCAATATATTATCTGTAATGTTACATTCACCTCTTTAATATTTTTATTTATTTAATTCCCCCTTTATTTCTTCCATTCAGGCTTACACTGCATGCTACTATTAGCGCGAGTGAGAGTGAGGATGTTTCCTGATATCCTCACGGCTGTGGTTCAGCTGCAGGAATACAGCAGTTCTAATCTGAACACGTTTGATGCGATTAAATTGTGTTTCATGACGTTAATTTAGATTTTTGCCCACACTAAAAATTTGTTAAAGCCTAGCATGGATAGGAGCAGTAATAACCCCCTTGGGGTAAACAGAACAGAACCAACATGAATGTTTTGCAGATTATTTCAAAATTTAAAGTACAATATAATTCGAGAATTTATTCAGATTCTTGGGGAATCAGAATGTCAAGTCCTGACTGACGAGTGGAGCTGGGGAGGGAGGAGGGTAATGAGCTCCTGAGAAACGTGATAGCTGCTGATAATACTGAAGGAGCTTATATATGTGTACAGTGATAGGCGTCATATTCCTATAGGGGGAGGTTGATCAGCTAATAGTCGGCTGATGCGAGCTTGACTAACGTGACCTGCCAGAACTAACACTATGCTTGATATTTAGACAGATTTTTTGAACAATTTTTGAGAGAAATAGGCTTTTTGTGTACATGGAAAAAGTCCTAGATCTTTGAGTTCAACTCATGAAAAATGGGGGCAAAAACAAGTGTTGCATTTATAATTTTGTTCAGTGTACATATTTATGAATTATACCATCAGCCTATCGTCTAATAGGGGATAAGGTGTGCCTTCCCTCTCTCTCAATTCACTATTATGCCATGTTCATTTGGCTTATGTCATTTGGGATGCACATAGTGCAGCTACTGCCTACCTACACAGCACATAGTATGCACTATCCATTCCAGGCTATGCATCTCCAATGACTAAAGCCAAATGAAAATGGCATGACATCATTTAAACAAATCTAACATTCGCTGTAATTACCCCCAATTTCATAGTCATTACACTCAACTTTGACTTTATGTATTTTAGAAAGTTATGGCTAGGCAGCAGCTATCTGTAGAGGAGAGAAGGAGAAGAAACAGGGAATACCAAAAAAAGCTGAGAGAGAAAATACACAGTGAGGCAGAGTTAAATGAGGAATACCTCATAAAAGGAAAAAAATGTTTATCACAGTGCTCAAGATTGTTATTTTTTGGACCAAAGAGTTAAATGAAGTTGTTAAGCAAGAATTGATTGACTTGAGTGGTATACATTGTGGAATTGTATGTTGTAAAGAGGCCACAGTCACCACCGTCAGATTAATGTCACCACCGTCAGTTCTAAAGTCACCACCGTCAGAGGGAGTTTTATTGGTTTTAAATGAATATACTGGAAATATGATTCTTCAGTGCTGTTGAGTTATTAAAGTAATAGTCTCTTTTAATACAAAAATATGTTTGTTAACTAAAACAACATTCATTTTTCTATTTAGCCTTAAAGTAAATGTTGTATGATGTTATATCTTTTAAAGGAGTACACGCAAAACAGTATAAAAAATGAACAAAAGTGAATATTCAACATTTAACAGCATATATGTGTACCAAGAATGCCAGATAATGATTTAAAAACTCTAAATACATATTAGACCAAACAAATAAAAAATAATTTGCTATTTATTCTGTCTGACGGTGTTGACAAAAACAAAGTGATAACTGGAGAAACGCCTATTTTATGAAAAAAATACAAAATGAGGAGGTTGCACCGGTGCATTGCTGAACAGCCAAGACCTTGCTTTATAATGATATACCTTCAGATTTTGTAATTTAACTAACTTTTTATTTTCAAAATTAAAACCTGTTTTATCCAAATTCCCAAGAATCACTGATTTGTGTAATTTATTGTGGTTTTATGACAATAAAAAAACTGATAAATTAAATTTGAAAACATTATCTTTATAATAAAATACTTTCTCACACAGTATAAGTTGGTCTTTATGCATGGAAATAGCTTTATATTTTTGGAACGTCATATTTGGGGGTCCTTGGCATCAACAGTTAAAAAAAAAAAATTAAAAAAAAACCCTGACCTGGGCAATCAGAGTGTGTGGTATTGGTATAATATATAGCCAGTAGGTGTTGCAAGGTTTAAACCAACCATGATAAATTAAAAGCAAAATGACATTTTGCCAATTTTGTCACACCGGGTAGCTCCATATACAGTATGATTGCCAAATTCTTTTTACTGCAAGGCCAGAAAAATTACCTGTGGAAAAGAGTCAGGTCAACAAGTCCATTGTAGAATTGATGCTGTTGTTGCAATGCATTTTAGATTGCAATGTTTGTTTATTATTGACAGTTTTTGTGTGTTCCATTAAGTGTGAAGTCTCCATCTTGTTTCATCAGTTAAGTGTTTCCTTCCTCCAGCCCCTCCTCAGTTTATCATCATCCTTTCTCTCTGGTTTCTCACTTGGCTTTTTGCACCTAATTGGTTTCAGTGTCTCTAAGTTGGGGAATATTTTCCAGCTGCTGTCACCCTCTCCTTACTTTTCGCTCTCTCTCTCTCTTGTTCTTGCTTTCCATGTTATTTCTGTCTGTTTCATTTGTTTTGTAGTGTGGCGGGCTGTAAGGATCCATCTAGTGAGGCTCATCAAAGTTTTAAGTCTGTATGCATGCAAGTTTCTCCAGTGCTGTTCTAAAATCTAGTGAGATGCCTGTGTAGACAGCATTTACATTTGTGGTGCATTAATGCTGAAGTCTAGACAGCAAGGCAGGTCACTATGTTTTGAAGAATATTTTCATATTTTTCTTTATTTTAATGTCTCTGGATCTCCTCTAATCTTTTTATTTCTCATCTTCTCACCTCAGGTGTACCAGATCAATTCAGACAGTTACATTACTCTTGACCAGTTCTATGGACGCAGTCTTGGAAAGGACACCGTTAAAAATGGTCTGACTCCAATTTCATGTTTTTATCATGGTTGTTTTTTCATTACTATATGTACATTATATACTGAATTGTGTTTATAAATAGAGAGATTAAGTAGTATTTAAAAAATAGTATTTTTCAATGCTTTATATTTTTAATGGAAGCAGATAGGCCTTATTGTGCATTATTGATCATTATTTGCGCAAAATTTATTTTCTCAGACACTGAGTTCTGCTATTATCATGCGCTAAGCAAGCGTTGCAGTTAAAAAATTAAAACACAGCATGCCACAGGAAAAGTGTTCAAAAAGCATTGCATCCACTACAAATATTTCTATTTATTAGGAAATTGGGACTTAGGACTTCTCTGTAATTATTTCATGTAATTTAAGTGCATAACTCAATTAATGTGAATGGCATATGTAATATAAATGTGTACATCAGATGATCTTTTATTTATTTAAACTGTTACTGCGATCATGCGCTGTATTTATGATTAGGACTCATAATAACGATATAAAGAGGTTTTTCTTCATCTGCCGTGGGTCACTCAGCTCACCATCGGTGTCGCCAAACTGCACTGTCTTTGACATGTTCCTAAGCATGGGTTAGAGTTTGCGTGCAGGTGCGCAACTTTTCCTGTCTAGATTGTTTTTATAAATCACAACTTATGCGTCGGAAGTGATGTAAGCCTCTTTCGGGGCGTGTTTTGTGCATAAATAACAGTTGTAAATGAGGCCCCAGATTCGGCCCACATCCGGTACGCATTGAATCTACATGTACTTGATGTGGCCCGGACCTGGGCCGACACTGTTTTACTGTATGGGAGATCAAAAGGATAAACAATTCAGATTTATTTTTACAGCCATCTTTGATCTTGATTTTGCTAGCACTAATAACCACAGCAGATAAGTACTTAACAAAAACTTTAAAACAACAAAAAACTTCAGGAGAGGACTGTGCCAACATAATAAACAAACAAAGATAAAATCTTTGGGAAGAACAAAATGTCCCAGGTTACGTGTTTAACACTTGTTCCCTGAGAAGCGTCCCTCCGCCACAACTTCCTCTGGCTGGAAGCAACTTGCTTCATCGCAAAAGCTAACTCTACTGTGTATGCCGTCACATGTTATGTCATGACGCAATGCCAATCTGGATTGGAATTCATGGTTTCATTCATGCTTCATTCGCGCTAGGCTGGGGGCATTCCTCAAAGTTCGTCGATACGACCCATTATGCATTGCTCTGAGAGATAACAGTTTCCCCTGGGACCACAGAAGGATCTGATGCCTTGGGACAGGAACCAAGGTTTCTTCCATATGGACAGGAAACGAGGGCATCTGCGCGTAACCTTGATCATAGAGAGCGCTGTCCTTGGGGAAAACCCCTTATGGTTTTAAACTGATGGGCCTTCATGTGCAGCAAGCAAAAAGTATCAGATTGGATGCAGCTGCCATGAGCCCCAACAGTCTTTGATAGCGTTTGAAATGTTCCTATTTTTGTTTTAGGAGTTCCTAAAAACAGTTTAACATGCATGCAAGGATAAAAAAATGCTTTATTTGTCTTATAATACGCATTTATTTTTAACTGATTTATCACCGGCTCCCAAATGATTCGTACAACGACTCATTTTTCCAAACCACTCCTTTGCGTGACGCTAATCTGCCGTGATTGGTCAGATGACAGACCCAGTCAGTTATTGTTTGTTAGCATAACGCATAAACATATTGATAAAGCACTGCAGTACTACAATACGCTCTATTCTTTATGACAACTCCAATAACAGCGACAAACATTTCACATATTTAAAAAAAAAATTACATTGGAGACCTAGAAGCTGCGCTGAGCGTAACTTACACACACACACACACACACAGATACAGATACACGCACCCCGACGCAACAAAACCGTTCAAAACCCATAAAAGCAACAATTATTAATAATACTTACAGGCTTTGATTCGGAGGAGGAAGCTGATCCATATACACTGGGCAAGTAAGTTACTGAGCCCTCCTTCAGGAACAACCGCTTGCGAATCCACATTTGAATTAATTTATGTTTTTGAACGATTCGTCATTAAAATGAGAACACAATCGGGCTATATTGTTGTGGTATTATTGCAAATATGAACTCTAACCAGCGATTCTTCACATGCTCGTCCCTGATAAATGAAAACAAAGTGGCTGAACTATCTTTGCATTGTAGAACACAGCGTCTTCTCGACATGATGCTATGATGAAGTATTTGAATGTGTAGACTTCAAGTTTACACTTCCGTCTGCGCGCGCAGTAACTGGGCGCGGCCAATGACCTCTCTACGTCACGATGTAACAGCTAATGACTCGTTTCAAAAACAATTCATTTCATAGACTCAGAGTCGACTCTCACTTTTGAAAGACAATAACTTTATATACGGTGCACTTTCAGATATAAATCTTTGCAGGATGTTTTCATTCCCTTAGAGCTACAGTATATTCCACACCATATGAACAGTCATTTTCTAAAATCCATTATCGGGGCTCTTTAAGTCTCAACCCCAAGCTTGAATGTGGCCAAGGATGACATCTCAATGCCGAACTGCCAGCGAGGGGAGTGTGCTAGGCTGAATGAAAGAACCCGATATTGGTACGCTTCGCCCCCGAAAGTGAACCTCAGAAACTTCCTGTGAGATGGAAGGATTGAGACTTGGAAGTATGCGTCTTTTAGATCTATCGTGACAAACCAGTCCTTGGATCTGATTTGGCTCATGATAATAGGAATAGTGAGCAATAGCATCTTGAACCTGAATCTCCTCAGAGACCGGTTCAGATGTCTTCGATCTAATATTGGACAACCCTCCTTTCTTCCTTGTAACTATAAAGTACCGGCTGTAGAACCTGGACTCCCTTTCTGGTGGAGGAACATGTTATATGGGCTCTTTTACCAGCAGGGAGTGAACTTCCAGTACTAACACCCCGACACTGCTGTGGGTCTAGTGCAGTCCAGACCACCCCGTTGAACTTCAGTGGGCGGACCCGGAACTGTAGCCTGTACCCTATTCCTACAGTGCGTAGGACCCATGGCGATATATTGGGGAGACATGGCCATGCTTTGAAAAAAAAATCCCGCAAGAGAACCAACCCTCGGGGCTGGTGTCGAGTGTCTTGTGAAAGCCCTTCATAATACCCTTCATGATAATCGAAAGCGACTCTCAGTGTGTGGACGCGAGCGCTGCCTGGCCGCAAGCTTGAGGGGCAGTGTGTTCACTGGAAACTGATGTGTCTTGAAGCGCCACTGGCGGTGGGATGCTAACACCAGTTTCCTAAAGGCCTGAGAGGGGATCTCTATAGCTCTCTCTCTCTGGCGGCCCTCCACGGTCTGAATGGTAGGCTGAATTGAAATATCTACCTTCTCGAAGTCAGATAATATTCCATCATTTTAATTCCATAGAATTAAAAGCAGCCATAATCACCAGACAATACTGTTTTAATATTTATATTAAAGATTTATGGTCTCGTAAATCTACACGCTGCCTCGGCAAAATCGTGATTCGAGTCATTACAATATACAGTATTTGGCTTTCATCCCTCGAGAAGAAAGAACAGTGAATAGAACCAGCACCCTCAGGAGCCAAACAGTATTATTTCCCAGATCGCGTGTGCCATTTTTATTGCAGACCCGTAATCTATGCGCTGCCTCGGCAGCCGCGAGATTCAAGTCGTTCACAATTGTGATGATTTCAGTGTGAGGAAGGAAGAAGATGAGGTAAGCTGACTGAGACGTGTGCGTTTTATTAGAGTAATTCAAAGAAATCACCAACAAAAGGTTGCGCTCCCCTAACACAGTCTCATCCCAAAAAGTCATATAACTGACGTCTTGGGGCGTATTTTGACCATACGTCAATATCCGCCTTTTTAGGCCCCCTTAAACGTCGGTAGATGGCGATCCCGGGCCGTCATACAACTGACGCTTTACCTTTAACGTCAGTTAGGTGACGGGTTAGGTTTAGGGTTAGGTTTAGGTATGGGGTAGAGTTAGGATCCCATAACCTCATCTACCGACGTTTAAGGGGGCCCTAAAAAGGCGAATATTGACGTATGGTCAAAAGACGTCCCAAAACGTCAGTTATATGACGTCTTGGGATGAGACCGGGTTGCACAAATAAAAAATAAAAAAACTCTTTCGCTGCAGCACTTGGGTTTCCAGTCACTCAGTTCTCAGACACGCATGTCCCAGTCCCAGTCGAGTCTCTCACACTGTATCTATTTCCTGGTGTCTTTTATCCCGTCTCTCCGGCCCCCTCGCTGTGAAAAAACTCAACACGTCTGTGCGTGTTGGGATATGAACGCAGCCAGCCCCCTCAGGAGCTTATTGTGCATGCCAGGCACCAAAACAGTCTCACAATCACACACCGATTCTTTATTGCAGAGTAGACCCGTAATCTATGCGCTGTTTCAGCGATCAGAATCTTTATTTGAAGGTCTTGCGGGACAAACATTATTATGATTGTACAGCTCTTTGGTCTGGAGGTGCAGTTGTAAAGTGCTTTATAAATAAAATAAAGTAAGTTGTGTCCCGGCGTCCCTTTGTAGCTTCCTTGTATGCTGCCATGTTACGTCATTACCCAACGCCAATCAGGATTGGAGTAGTTTTGTTATTGCTTCAGACGTAGGTTGAGTTTCCTCAAGTTCAAGTTCCCTCGAAAGGTGGGAATCCTTGTGCTTTCCTCCTCTCCACTCTTATCCCCACTTCCTTCTTTCAGGATCCAAACCATGCGCTTACTGAGGAAAGGCAGATGTTGTTAATTTGGAGCTTTGCAAGATAGAAAGTGAGAGAGAGAAAGATACCCCCCCCCCCCTCCCAAAAAAAAAACACACACACACACACACACACACACACACACAATATAACAATTGAAATCCTGTATCAGATTCAGAACACTCTCATTATTATTACTCATTTACACAAATCAAAAGAAAATATTTCCTGGGATGTAATATTATGTTCAGCTCTAAAATTGTCTCCCAGTGATTTGATTTAACTTGACTGGAAAATGTGTGTGATCCTGTAGTCTCAAAACTTTTTCTTCCCTCAGGCCTGACTAGATTCTTCCACAATGGTGAAGCCTTACAGAGGCATGCACTTTCCCTGATCATCTCTAAAATCCGAAGCATTCTCCGCTGGTTTGAGGGTCAAACTCAGCTCCATTTCTACGCCAGCTCTCTGCTGCTGGTGTATGAAGGCTCTCCTCGTACAGTCAACGGATGGAAACACAAGCGAGCTGAGACAGGAACAGGACATCAGCAGGGGGAGCCACAGAGCAACTGTAACAAACCCCACGAGGCTCTGATCGTTCAGGGCAGTTTAACACACAGTCATCCGTACCGCCGTGAGACCAACGCTAACGGAGTGTGTGCAGGAAGTGTAGAAGAGGAACGTGAGGAAATTGGAATGGGGGAGACGAAACAATTTGGACAGGAGGACGCAGTGGAGGTGAAGATGATCGATTTTGCTCATGTATTTCCGAGCAACAGCCCGGATGAGGGATACATGTACGGTCTGAGGAACCTTCTCTCCACTTTAGAACAAATACTAAAGACTGACATCTGACCTCCTGAGGGAGTCCATCTCTCTCTCTCTCTCTCTCTCTCTCTCTCTCTCTCTCTCTCTCTCTCTCTCTCTCTCTCTCTCTCTCTCTCTCTCTGATCTGATATTTCTAGCTGTTGTTTTCAATGAATTTGGAAAATTGGGTTATATATTTTGAGAAGTTTTAATCGTACAATGAAAACTTAATGTAGCTTTCAGAGCTCAAAACGTCTGGATAAAAAAGACTGTCACTTTTGCCAACAACTAAATAATTTACTAAATTTATAGATATACCTCATAAATCATAAATAAACAATTATGATTATTTTATCTAAGAATGCTCTTCTAATTCCAAAGAAAATTCTAGTCAGATTTTATTGTATGTTTACCCTTTCTTACTGCCGAAAATATTCACTTTTTGCTCCTTTTAAAGAACTTAATTTATTTAATTTTTTTACAAATATGTACAAATAATTTTTTTAATCTGTAAAAAACAATGAATCTTAATATATATATATATATATATATAGTTTTTGTATGGTTTAAAAATAAGAAAGCTTCCCAAGAACATGTTAAATGCTTTTCATAAAAACTTGAAATCATACAACAAAATGGAAAATGTGTGTGTTTTTTTTTAAATCGCTAAGGCTTGTTAAAAAGAGAAAATGGGTATTTTTTTCTGTATTGCTCAATAAAATAGAATAAGCAATGAGCAGTTATTAATATTTCAGCTTTAAGGTAGGTTATGCCTGCAGTCATGCAGCTTCTGCTCTTTTTTAAGTGACGTCAAAATGATGTGAACCGTAAAGAAATATCAGACACATACCGATTTTATGCTGACATTCTTTGTTGATAAGATCCAATTGAGTTTCTTTTTAATAGCATTTTAAATCTACTTTTCATTTGACATAGTTTCTATCCCTTTGTTGTTCAAAAGTCTGAAATGGCATAAATAAATATGTCTAGCCCAAAGTGTTCTACCAGCAGTTAATTGTTCTCTTATGCTTTAATAATTATGGTGGTCAAATTTTGCTTTGCAGAAAGCTTCAGATTCTTCACTGAGTTATAGTTTTCCCTAATGGCTGCTCTGGGTTTTCATCTCTCCCTTAAAAGTTTTCTATTGTCCATAAACCGTCTCTCACATGAGCAACACTTCTTCCATACTGCTCTGTGATTGGACAAACCCAGAGTGTTATTTCTTGAGATGCTTTGCAGTTTTAATGTAGATGAAGCAACAATGAGAAACCGATTGCTTATGTGCAAGTAAACACGACCAAAAAACTATTATTTCAATTCATCTTCTGAACTCATTATTTGTAGTGATGTGCAAAAACACCACATTTCTTTTTAATACATACAGTTGATCAAGCAAGTCAAGACAAAGTCGTTAGCGGTGTAATAATTATAATCTTATTTGAAAATAGATTAAAACAGACAAATAAATGAGCATTTGAAGTGAAGTGCATTATGTCATGTGGATAAGCACGCATTTATTGAGCTGCTGTCCTGCTGCGGTTCTTCATTTACAGTTTTCTTAGTGTCATTCTGTCCTCCTGCTCTTTTTTAAACTGGAGGCATTTTTCATTTTTCCTAATTTAAGTGTAATTTGAAATACAATTGGAACCTCAGAAGCAATTTCCCAGCAAATGCCCCCAGAAACACTCAGCTCTCAGACAATAGGTTTAAAAAAAAAAAATAAATATATATATATATATATATATGAATGCCTTAAGATCTCACTTTCTAGCCGCTAACAATATTTTTTTTAATTTCTTTTTTCACCTTTTGATCTCAAAGCAAGTTCAAACACATTTGTGTACATGGAAACATTTCATATGTTTTTGCACAGCTCTGAATGAATAAATCATACATGTCATACATAAATTTGATGTTTATATTTTCTGCCTGTGTTATAGTGTGTGTGTACTTCCCCATATTTTCATTTGGTGGTGCTGTGGCTCCTGTGTGGCCGCACAGATTGAAAGACTGGAAATGGAGACAACTCAAAACTCCATCCATTGGCATCAGATCTGGGTAAGAAATTCAGAGTAAAACGAAAGCATGACATAGCTGTGCACATGCTGTGGTTATTATATTGCTTTCTATGTGGTGATCTGAAAGAGCTCTATGGGAACTATGTCTATGACACGTGTGGGAGTTTAGTTGAGATGAACACGAGACCGGGGCGGGCTTGAGAAAACAGTTTTACGTGCACATATTCTGGACGGGCTTTATTTTTTTCAGTATTGTGTGTTGGTATGTCCATTCATTGATCATGCTGGGAGCGTTTGTGTGATTTGTGATGAAGTTAATCAATATATGGCCGGATCGAGATGAAGGACAGGAGGAAAAGAGAGAAACTAATTAAAACTGGTATTGATTCTTTATTAAAATGACAAGCTTTATCTCATAGTTCTCAAACATGCACATCCAAATAATGTATTCTTTGAATCAATGCACTGCCAAATCCTAATTAATTTTGATCTTTCACCCAAGTTCTTCAAAAGGTTTGAAAACATTTATATGTATGACTTATTTTACTGAAACAGTATAGACATTCCCCCTATTGGATGTTTGTACAATCAGCACATATACAGTAATTGTGCTCTTAAAGTGGTCAATATCAATGGATATTACTCCTTCGTGGACTGGAATGAAGAGTGACATTACTAAGCGTTTTCTCTTAAGAAATGTACTGACATGATTCGATTTGGAGTCTCCACACTTTAATCAAGGTTAATGTATATTTCCCAATCCATCCTAAATAGCCTGTTAAATAATCTATTACCGGAGGTAATAAGAAAGCTACTTGATATTGATTGAATAAACTCTCTGATGAATTCACTAAGTGAGGATTCATCAGATGACTCTTTCAAGACTTTTTTGTTACCTGTTGGTTTTAGAAATGTCACAGTGGAACAAAAGAGTTTGCTCAGGAAAGTTTATCAAATTGATCAAACCAGATGCCTTAGCAAAGCCATGAAAATCATATCAAACCTTAGGCATCCTTTGTTTATTTATCATTGGATTTTGTAATTTTTCATTGTGTATGTTTTTGTGCTGTCATATTTATGTACAGTACATTGTTTGTCCTTTGTGTGTAAGCAAATCTATGAATTAATTTAATTTACTTCAAAAAATATCCACAAGTAGCAAAAAAGACATACTTAAGAAATATCTCAGTATATTCATGAAGAAATATGCTTACCTTGCAAAACTACACCAAGAAAAGTTGGCAGGAGTGATTTATTTGTTTATCCATCGAAGAAGTGTTGTGACAAGTGCTGTTGATTGACACTGTGGATTATCTAGTGGATTTTTTTTTTGGCACAAAATACCTCAACCAGATGGTAGAGATGGCCCAATCAGCTAGAGTTAAGTTAGGTACTCCTCTCAATAAAATATAGTGACTCAAAATGTGCTCAACCATTAAGAGCAAGACACAACTTTCAACCTAATTACAATAATTGCTCTTTCTGTTAAAAACCATTTCGATCTGACTGTCCATGGGAGATGTGATGAAAAATGTGGAATGTGAAAAATGTCCGTCTACGTCTGGCATAATAATAATACCAAGCAGGTTGAAAATTGGTGAAATTACACTTTAATTAGTTGTTCCTGAATTGTCGTTATCAAGATTTGTTTGTTAAGCCTGTTTTATGCTTCTGCGTCGAATCGACGGCGTACCCCCGTAGACCCCTATCCGTCGACGCGAACCCCTCTCCGACCCCTCCGCCGTAGCCCGACGTGCACCTCCAAAAATTTGTAACTACGCGTCTATTAGCGCTATTTTTAACATTTGCACCCTCGTTCTGATAATTATAATACTCTTATAAAGCAAGTAAATAAAGAATTAAACTAAAAAATAAACTTTTTTTTATTTCATTGTTAATATATATGTCTATATTCTTTTCTTTCTTTTTTGCTCGCAATAAACTTCAATCAATCAATAAATCAACGTTTGTTTTGAAACACAGTTTGTTATTTATTTTCAATACAATGTTCATGGTTACATCATTGATAATACAGTACAAACCAAGTCTGCCACGGGACACATTATCCTGCCATAGCACAGTTCCATGTGGAGACTGAAAAAATCCTTCAAGTCATTCCGAACAGGTATCGTTATGGCAGCTCGGGTGGAACCTTTATTTTACTGTCTATCGGTGGAACGGGCCCTGGACATCCGTGTTGATTCTGTGGGGATAAAGTTTGTGGCCGTTTCTCAATATGCGTACTTGTCTGTACTTGTGTTCTTGTGGACTTGTGAAACGTCATCAGTCGCTGCCGAAGTACTGTTCCAATTCAAAGTTCGCATCTAGCCAAGTCCACTTCAAATCCCCGGATGTGTTCTTGATCCGCCCCGTTTACCGAGGATGCATCGAGAGGTGACTTGTGTGGACTTGAGATAGCCAGGTAACCCAGAATGCACCTCGCACCAACCAGCAAGCGTAAATGGGAGAGGAGAAAATCCGCAAAATATCAAAATACTACTGTTATTGAGTCATGAAATGTAATTTTAAGAGTATTTCAGGCGAGAATGTGGTTGTTTAAATCTCAAATCTGTAGTTTATTTATAAATATAGCGCCTATATTGTAAAATGCATCTGACGTTTTCGGAGTTCTGACATCCAAGCCTTCAGCGGACACTCAGCGAGATCAACGCCGACTGGAACAGCTTATCCTCGGCTAGTGCTTCTGACGTTTGCCGCCGGCTCTGATCTCTCTAGTCTAGTGGATAAACCTTGACGTATAACTCGTCTTTTGTATAAGTCTATCTTTGGTCTCATTAAACTATAATTTGTTCCATGGCGCAAAAAAAAAAAAAAAAAAATAGTTTTTAAGGTTTCATGGCTATTTTTTTTATATTGTCTTCACTATATGAAATAAAATGACATAACCCTGTCTCTGTTTGATAAATGTCAATAAAAATCCAATGTTTCATATTTTTAAAATGAAAACAAAAAGATCATGTTCATTGTGTTATAACATATGCAGTGAAGAGAATCGCGTTGCCTGAACCACATGGCCATTAGGCTATTATAGGCTATGTTGTTTTTTGTTAATGAAGAGTCAGAGGGGTGTTATAACATATTTCGTCTTATTGTTGACGAAAAGATGCAGAGTTGTAGCAAATTTCGTTTTATTGTTGTCTAAAATATAGAGTAGAATGTGCTGAGTGACGCGATCAAGTACGTTCCATTTGCAGAAGAACCGGACTTGCGACCTCGCATCCTCGGGAGTTCGTTCTCCGGAGTCGAACTTGCAAGTCTGAACTACCAAGGACGCAAGTCCGAAGTCTGCGTACTTGGTATTGAGAAACGGCCTGTGTCGTCTTGTTATTCAACGTCGATTAGCTCCAGCTGGCAGCTGCAAAAACAATTCTCTCTCTTTCGCTCGCGGCGCACGGACCCAAAGAGATTCGCGAACCCCCCTAGCGTTCTGGCGGCGAAATGCACCGCGATGCACCACAACCTCACGCAGAAGCATAAAACGGC